TGTTTCTGTGGAATCATACGATAACTGACCCTCACATCATATTAATATATTTCCAAGATTAATAAACAATTCAAAACTACTAATCAAATTTTAAAATATACCAAAAATAATTAGCATTAACTAATGAACACATTTCAGGTCCAATTTAGACATAAAGGATATAATCTTTTCAACAGTATGTATTCAGAGACTAAAACCAACAATGAACTGCATTAACACAGTTGATGGCTGTCAGTCTCCAACCTGGTTTAACATATTTGTCTGTGCCATAGACTTCCTTTGTTGTTCAAAAATAATTAAAAACATAAATGAAGCACACCGCTAGACTCGGTGACATGTTTCTTCATTACAAAACGCAGGACTGGTTTCCCCAATGCTTCAAATTACCATAACTTCTTCATGTCACCCAGCACAGTGGTGTGCACATTTAGTCAGTTAGTCCTAAAGGGAACAAAATATATTAAAACTAAGAGTTACAAGCCCAGTTTGAAAATGTAAGGAGTAGAAATGACAGATATTTGTGTTAAAATGCAGGGTAAAAGTAAGAATTTGTCAGAAAAATAAATACTCAAGTAGAGTACATATACTTGAAAAATCAACTCAATTACAGTAATTAAGTGTATTTCATTACTTCCCACCGCTGCATGAAATAAAAAGGTTTAGTGGCTATCACTGCTGCATCACAGCAAGAAGTCTCTAAGTTCAAACAGATGACTTGACCTTCTAGCCACTATAGAGACAGTTACTCCAATAATAATCCACCCAGACCAAAAATGCTTCATTAAAAGTAGACACATTTTGGATAACACCCGTAGACTATTTAACAATCAATCTTGCACAACAAAAACAAACCGACACTATAATTGTATCATTAGATGGAGAAAAAGCATTCAGCAAAGTTAACTGGTCATATCTTTTCTTCACACTACGCAGGTTTGGTTATGGAGAGTCTTTCATCTATCAATGCAAAAATACTTCGGTTGCAGACCTTGTCTTCCTACCATACCCAATTAAGAAAATGAACTATTGCAAAAATATCACAATCTCTGCAACTCTGACAGCCTGGTGGAAAGCAAACAAAACCACTAAATCATCATTAACACCATGTAGATACACTCCAATTTGGCACAACCCTGATTTTCAACTGCATAACAACCCTGTCCACTTTCCAACGTGGCAACACAAAGGAATCACTCACCTTCATCACCTATTTGAAAACAACCAGCTTATACCGTTCAATACATTAGTCCAGAAGTATGGAGTTAGGAGAGGAGAATGTCTCCAGTAACAACAGTTAAAATCCATAATTAAATCAAAGATCAATATAATCAATAACCCACTACAACCTTCCATTCTAACTGAGGAGATAATGAAGTTTACAAACTCAAAGACAAGGACGTTGCTGTCCTGGATCACCTGGATGACCTCCAGAGCTCCCCAAACGATGGCATCACCTCGTGCTGGTGGTTCGAGGAGGGGGCATCACCCCCCCCCTGTAACCTAACCTACAGTAAAGTACTCTGGGTTGCACCGATGATTACGTCCATGCTACTTGGACCTATCAACCTGTTTACTCCCTCTGGGTAGCGGTAACAGAGAAACTCTCCACCATCTTGAGCTGTAGAATCCCTCCATCAGTCAACCACCTACCAATTAAATATAAAAACCCACTTCTCTGACTATCACCAAGAAAACAATCTTTCTAAACGGGAAATCTACAAACTCATTACACATCAACCACTGGACCAACCTTCTCATAGAATACATCACACTAGAGAAAATAACTATCTCCCATAAGAATAATACAGTATATCAACTTTTACTGACACTTGGAATCCGTTTCTAGCCACTTTTAACTTAAACCAGATACCTAGGCCAAGGTCGAGGCCACGCACATTTCCACAAACTCCTAGAAATATAACAAGCCGCTTTTTATTTCATTATTGTTACTGTTGCTATTAGTCCTCATTGACCTGTTTGTCTGTTTTGAGTATGTCACAGCGATCAATCAAACCAGATTAACTGAGAATATAACCTATCCCCCCATTTTCATTCTTTTCCCCCTCTCCTCTCTCTTTCTAATCTTTTACTGATTTGTTAGTCATTTATTTTTGTTTTATGAATATGCATATACATATACTGTATATCCAGGTACACATAGTTATGTGTATGACAAAGTATATATTGTATTTATATGATCGAAATTGCTTTACTATCACTTTTTCTTTTATTGTTATTTTTTCTTTTTCTGTCTTATTTACCTATTCATCTTTCTCTACCATTTCTCTGGGGGGCACAGCATGGGGGAGGAAGACCAGGTTACTGTTTCCTTTCCCCTTACCTGCATATATCATTACTGGACTGCTCACACCCTCTTAGACAAGCTCCCTCGTCAGGGTCTAGGAGCTGTTTAGGAGGGGAACACACCACACATTGGGTCAGGTCTCTCCTGTCAAGGTCAGGGGCCGACCCCAAGCTGTTTGTCCCAACAATCAACTATTAACATAGACCAAGATGAACAATAAAACAAAGGGAAGGTTTAATTTAACCATAACACAAGGACGCTGCTGTCCTGGATCACCTGGATGACCTGGATGACCTGGATAACATCACCCTGCTGAGCTGCTCCATCACCTCGTGCTGGTGGTTCGAGGCAGGGGCATCACCAGCACACTCCTGGTCATTTATTAATTTAAACTCCTTTATTTTTTTTTACATTTACCTCCCCCCCGAATTTCTTAATTAATTTGGTTTCATTTTGTTTTTCTTTAATATGTACTGAATATCAGTCTGCAAAGAGTTGGATACACCCACACAACTTAATTTAACAATCCCTTTGTCTCTTTTGTTAATGTCTGTTGTCTCATCTTCTATGTTATGTCTTATTTCATGTTTTAATTAAAAAAAAACCCGACCTTTCTACGTGGAGTTTGCATGTTCTCTTTGTGTCCAAACACACCCAGGTTAGGGTGACTGGTTGCCTGTAGGTATCAATGTGTGTGGTTGTTTGTCTCTGTGTCAGCCCTATGATAGCCTGGTGATCTGTCCAGGCTGTACCCTGCCTTTCGCCCAATGTCAGCTGGGATTGGCTCCAGCCTCCCCATGATCCTCTACAGGATAAGCAGTATAGATGTTCACTCGTGAATTGGAAGTCCTGGTGTAAAACAGCACATGGAGGAGCCTACAGAAACACCTTGGAGAAGGGAAACTATTGTACATCCAAATCTCCAACGAACAGTACACACTGAGGAAATTACTGGCTATACATGAAATGCATGTACATGTACAGTGTATCCAACCTGTGGTTAAACAGGAAATACAAACTTCAAAAAGAACTGTGCGCTCAATAGGAACAAACATTCTTCTGTTTCTATTACCTATTGGACCCGTTTATATTAGTAGAAGTACATACACTCACTGCCCACTTTATTAGGTACACTCATACAACTATTTATAAATCAATGCAGCACTTCTGCCTTAACATCTGTGTTTGTGAAGCTCAAACTGTTTGTTTTTGGTGAAGCTGTCAATATATAAATTGAATTATATGTTTATTATTATAGGTTTACATACTTCAGATACTGTACAGAAGTGTCCTTTATCAGTGACCATTAGTTGACTTTATGCATTTACTGTTTTTTTCTGTATTTCTGTTTGCTAGTACTTTGCTTTAGATTTCTAATCGAATAAGACTATTGATTAATGTTAACACAGCTGCTAATATTAGGTATAATATGGCAAAGAGACCATGCACCAAACTTAATGCAAACAGGCTTTGATCAACCACATCTATCTGATGTGACCTGTGACCTAAGGTAGATGACCCAGTGTCCAATCCTTACAAAAAGTCCCAGAACAAAACAAAAACTACCCTATTAATTCAAGTAGCATGATACAATTCAGCAAATATTGTATTCAAGATATGATGAAACATTTTAAAATTTACCGTCATGTGACCTAATTGATAATCAGAGTGCCACTTAAGTACAGGGCTGGTATCAGCTGGAGACTTAGCTTTATGGGCACAGGCTGAGATTCCCATACAACATTCAGTGAAACAACTTCTTGTTATATAGCATTTGACACTGATACAGTGACTAGGTTTTACAGCACATAAAGCAGCATCAATAATTTGAGCAGTAAAATCACAATCTGGTGGGTTTTATTTCCCTGAGTCATTATTATCCCCATGTGTTTACTTAACACTGTTTTTACATGATATATAACTTCAAGGGTGCAAAGAAAGAGCAATCTAAATTGAGTATAAATTAGGCCTAAAAGCTAATAAATGCAATGATGAGTTTTCCATCTTGTAAAGGAAGTGCAGCACACACTATGTGGCTCCCTCTGGCAGCAAGAGGAATAATTTTTTATTGCGGCACATAATGAAACTAATAGCCTTCTTGTTATGATAGTGATATTTGAGAGAAGGCTTTTTTTGTAAGAGTTAATGCGTTGCTTCATTCTGACTTTTGAGTTAACTCGGGTCAACCACACCAGGAACATATAGTATGTCGCATGTTGTGCACAACACAGACCGAAAAAAAAAAAGCATAACAAGCAAAGAGATCACTGGAGACAGGGAGTGCAGGAATGGAACAGATGGGAGTCAGATGAGGAGATAAAAGAAGGAGTGATGAGGGTTCAACAGCACATGAGAGAAGTGACGACCAACAGATTGAGATGTCAAAACAGTGGGAATATGACATTAAAACTCTGGGCTTTTTGTCACTTACATGCCAGATCACCTTCTAGCACCATCTAACACTGACAATAATGCAGGCCGTGCTGACATAACAAAACTACCCTTGCACAGAAGAAAACCTTTAGGTGCTCAATGTTTAATGTGGCTCAACTGAACATAATGAAACTAAAATAAGGAAGCTCATTACCAACAATACCGAGGTACATGTTACAGCAAATGACCTTCAGTCACACAACACAAACCAGCTCTCTCAGTTTTACATCTTAATTTCAATTAGTCTCACTTTGACCCTTACCTGATGCTCTGAATCTCTAATATATCTGGATCTGTAGCATTGAGTGAGGCCACAAAGCTGCCCACAGGGATGTTTTCCATCCTGGTCACTGTCAGAGGGTCAGGGAAGAAGACCGGGCCCTCGTTGGTGTCCATGACCGTGACGTGGACTGTGGCTGTGGAGCTGGGGCCGTAGCCAACATCTGGAACCAGAGGATCCTCGTTCTCTACTTTGATGAGCAGTGTGTGGAACGCTGTGGCCTCGTAGTCCAGAGGCTGAATGGGGAAAATTGATTGAAAAGGTAATGGAAGGGTGATTATGCTGTCTACAGTAATATATAAATACGATTTGAAATGTCAAATCTTTACCTTGACAACTGACAACATTCCCTCATTATTGTCCGGGTTGGTTTGGATTTCGAAGCTTTGTGTAGGATCGCCGTTAATTATAGAGTAGATTGCCCGCCATGCCCCTGTGGCTGGATCGTCTCTGTCGTCTACCGTCAGGTTGACCACCACCCCAGTTGAGCCCTCGTTCACAGATGCTTCAAACTGTTAGGAGACAGATAAAACACCATTATTGAGCAAGAACAACTGAGGATACCTGAACATAGAGACTACAACAGAACAAATCAGAAGGGACTCAGAGGATGGCGTAGATGAGGGCTTTCTACCACGAGCTAATTTAGAAATGTCTAAAAGTGTGCTGAGGCTGAATGTGAAGTGAATTTTAGAGGCTGCACAATTGCAAAATAAGTCAATAGAAAGACACAAAGCAAGAGTGAAGGTGAACAGAACAAATTTACTTTAGGTGGCGACAATTAAGGCAACAATGCCTGTCTGACTTAATAATGTGGCCACCGGATTCCAAACTCCATCTAATGTTCACACAGAGACAAGAGGAAAAAGCAAAGCATGAGGTTTTTGACCACTTCACTAGTACTATAGAGCAACATCTTTATGAGCAAGTTCCCACAGAGTGCATTTTGTAAGAAACATTGAATGTTAATATGACTTACTGGCTACAAGAAAACGATGCAGAGCACATTGAATCTTCCCCTTTGTTTATTATAATATTCTGCTTGATCATCATCATCTTTTAAAAAGTAGTATCAGTGTGGCATGTTCTTCATGCAGTTTATTGTGTGGGCTTCAGTTTATATGTATTTTGCCCTGAACTTTTTACCTGTTACCTGCCTGTCTGGTTGCCTGTAAGCCTTGGTTAACTTTATTAAAGTAACTTCACTATACCTTCCTGTACACCCACGTGTTTGCATTTTGGGCCTCCCGTCCTGTGCACCACACACCAGCCATGACAATAGACTGTCGAGTCAGAAATTCTGCAGTTATATCCAAGAAAAATCATTTGCCTAAACATTTCACAGAAGACTGCAAACATGTGAATGTATACTCAAACAACACACATAACAGAATAAACAGTTCATGTCTTCCATCGCTGATTTCCTCAGAGTGCATCTCATTTCATTTTCAGTGTCATTCACCGTCCGCCTCTCTGCTCATTGTTGGCAGCAGACCTCAATCAGATTCCCATCAATGTATTCTGCCAGCAGGACCTCCACTAAAGACTGCATTGTGAACAGAAGTACCCTTACAGAAGCTCAAGCAGGCATTCTGAGGGTGTATGTTTGTCAGGACCATTACGGTGTCAAACCTTACTGTGTAATCTTTCAGACACAGAACACTATTTAAGGATAGCAGTGGTCAAGCCTAGATTACTGCGTCTCCTGTCAGCCTACGGTATTGTTTCACAGATTACCCTCTTACCTCTTACATTGGCCGGCTCCATACATTTATCTGAAGAGAGACATTGATTTCTTCCCTTTCTCCCTTTTTTAGTCATCCAAGGCTTGTTTAAAAAAAAAAAAACACTTTGAACCAGTCAGTCATTTAGGGCACAGAGGATAGAAACAGCATTAGCTGTAACCACACTGGCATTGTTGGTCCTTTTGTCCTGCAAGCCTGTGGCAGTCAGATGCACTGGAATTTGATTTTAAACAGCATTTGACTTAGCTTTAGTAGAACATCTCGACAATTTGAAAGCCATTTTACAAATATTACCTTCACTGCACATACTCAGACACAAGCACCGTCACTAGAAACAAATACATATAGCTGGCATTCCCATCATCCTCTGAACTTCAAACTTCAGCTTTCTCTCTTCCCCTCACACACACACACTCACACACACAAATACAGCAGAGACACATTGACAACAGCCGGTCAAGATTGGGTTTAATCATGTGAGGCAGTCATGCGGTTGGAGGCAAGGCTGTATTTTGTGTGATGTGGCCACTGGGCCTCTGCCCTGCTGCTGATAAGACCCCAATTCCACCTGGATCACAAAGCAACCAGTCACCTGAAAGACTAGATGGAAATGACTAACGACTACGACGCAGAGCTCTTGGCCTGAAATGACTTAAACACATTAAGAGAGAGGGAGGAGATGGTGATGCTGGTGGTGGTGGTGGGTGAGGGGGCCGCTGGCTTCAAGTTTGCTCTTGACTCTGTATATTGGCTCTTTCCTTTCTGAGACCCCCTGCTCCAGACAGAGAGCCAATTACAGTAGTGGTTCTTCTACACTCCACTCTCAAAAAGATGAGCGCATGGTCTTGGCAGTGCAAGACAAGATAAACTGAACATTGAGTGCACACATCCAAAAAACTCTTACAGGTGCTATACCAAACAGGCTAGAGGCAAAAAAAAATAAAAAATTTGCAGCAATTTTTCTTTTTTCAATTTTTCTTCCAGCAATTTTAAAAGAGCAGCGAGGTGTAGTGCCCACAAGTCCAAAGCAGACATTTTGGAAGCAATGTTTCATTCTGAAGTCTCTCAGAATGAATTGAGAACCAGCTGGAAACTGTTACATGCAAACTGCCCCAGATGCATAAACCAGGCTCTGCCATCACACCTCTCCTAATCAGATGTACAGGCCAGATCCTTATCTGATCCCTTCGCAGGAACACTCAGACACCAGAACTGCTTGTCACCAGAGACTGTTAATCCTGACATCCTAACTCCCAGTACTGCTCAAAAAGTTACACAGGAAAGTGTGTTCTTTTAATTTCTTTTAGTGATTGTATGCTGATAATTGATTGCTTGTGTCTTTTATTCTCAGATTTAGTCTTTACAGAGTTAACAGTCCCTTTCTTCCCACAGAATGATCCACATACTTTTCATGTCAAACTACGTGTTGCTTAAAATTGTGTTTAAATGTGTTATTCCACCTTAGTTTTAGGAAGTGTGTTTTTCAAACACAGCCATAGTGGAGAAAGTTTTTAACTAGACAGAATTAACTTTCAAAAAAAGATTCATCTCATTTCATCTCTGCTCAGTCCGAGGACAGCGCCTCACACTCCTCTCAACCAATCAAATGAGTGCGTGCACAGTTCCATGAATGACTAATGAGTCTGCCCCTCCTTTGTCTCAGTCACTCAGAAAGAGTCTTTCAGAAACCAAGAATGAACAATAAAACTTCAAGCCTGCTCAGGGTGCGTCTCTCGTCTGTGTTTTTGTGTTAAATTCATTTATTTAGATTGCATGCTCACATGGCCACAAGAAATTTTATTTACAATATTTTAGTAACAGACAGGAAGCGACATAAATGTGCGCCATCCTTAACCACACGGTGGTAACTGTTTTGGAACCATGAGTGTCTGAATTGAGATTCATATAAGTCTAAGATTTCATCACAATATATTGGCCTTATGGTAACTACAGGAAGACCTTTGTAGCAGAAATGATTGCACTTATGAAAATGAACAATATTTAATATTCAATACCTCAAGTTAGGGCACAAGATGGTTATAAGTCCATCAAGCAGTTAGTGTAAATAATAAGTGCAAGTCTGAAAGCTGTGAATCCCACCAGTTCAGTGACCCCTTTACTAAAAATAGGAAACACAAGATGATATAAGCTAAGTACACAGGTAAAAGGACTCTTGTGAGAGGTGATTCAAATGGGACATTGGTGAATGCTTTGATGGTTGAGTGACTGAACAGTCTGCTAGTGATGGTGGAAGATGAAAAAAAAATTGAGTTAGATGCTGGATATAAATTCTGGGGTTTAGTCACGAATATGGATAGGAAAAATGACTTGATTGCTACAGGTGAGACTTTAGTTAATAGCTAGTAACTATGGTTTTCACGAGACATCAGTTACTCAAAGTGTACTTATCCTGTTAGCCATTTAGCTCTGGAGACTTCAAGTGGTCAGAAGAGAAGTGCTGGTTTGAAGGCTCTTTGGATCCACAGTTCTGAGATGGTTTCGAGCTTGAGACTTATGATAATGCGTCGTCGCTGGGCCTCTGGGCTTGCTCTTAGGAGTGGAGCGACTTCTCAGATGGCTGGTTCTTCTTCAGAATGCGGGCTTCACCAGGGGCCTTCTGTTGTTTGGCTGTTCACAGATGGCTGGCTCGCTGTATTTATTTCAAATTGATTGTCGCAGGGTCGTTCTGATAGTGTCTCTGGAGTTTAACAATGGATTTGTTTTAAATAAAACTCGCTTTCGATGTTGTTAAAAAGAGTTTCTTTGTCTTAGACTTCAGCTGCAGAGTTAACATTATTTAACTAGTAGCTTTCAGTAAAATGTCAACACATTTTAGGCAGACTGTCATAAAATTTACAGTGCTACAGACATTCATGTTGCTCTTTGAATGAAATGAAAGAGGGCCAACATTTCATCTAGAACCATTTCTTGGTCATTTTATTTGCACACCATTTGTTTACGACAAGATTCCTGCAAAACATTCCCATCCACCTCAGCTGTACTTTCTATTGACCAATACCATTAGCAAGCCACAGTCCTGACACTGACAATTTTAGCATGCGGACATAGTATTGTCACCATTACCTACAGGACCATGAGAAGCCAGAATAGAAAAACAAAAGCCTAAGCTTAGTAATTAAGAACTGTCCTCAAACCATGCCGTTCTCACAGTACATGTATTAAATGGCTTTACCTTTTGTTAAACATGTTTACATTCTACATACAGTGTGAGAATGCTCAACCTGAAAGTGCTCCTCTTTCTCAAGTTCTTAGTGCAGAACCTAAAGTAGTAAACATTTGCAAAGTGAAGCAAGCAGCCGCTTGCTTTCTAAAAACAATTCCACAAAACCATCTCAACACTGTCAACATTACCTCTTCCCCAGCAGATGGGATGCAAGAGAAGCTCCAAATTCTGGCCAAGGGCCAGAGAAAGAGATGTGAAGCTTTCTCACACATCTGTCAGCTTTACCGAGTAACACTAAATGCATTCTGGCTCATTAACACTATGGATATTGTATCCCATTTTTTATACACACTTCTAATTTAAAGACAGTTAAAAAAGGAAAGACGCAAAAACAAATGATCCAGGTAGGTTACATTGGCTGTTTTGAGTGTGTTACTGGCTGGTGTAAACCAAATTTAGGCTCCCTCTCACAGATATACACAAGCCTGTGCCTACAGTCGAGTACACACGCTCAATATTCTTAGACCACAGCTCCATAAACACTTAAATGGAGATCTTATTTTATTCCTGATGTCTGTCACAA